ACGTATTGTGAAGAGTGGGGCGCGTTCCGGAAACACGCACACATAAACACCAAACACATAAACACACACCCCAATCAAAACTAGTTACATAAAGTTCTTATTGTTTATAAAAGTCAAAGAAAAAAAAATAAACAAAGAGGGTAAAATAATAAATAATACAACAGGTGTGTTTATATTTATAATATTCTCCTTGACCTCTTCTCTGTTTGCTGCCAACATGTAGACAGAGTCCTCTCTATTAAATATTAAATATCAAACATTGAATATTGAATATTAAATATTAAATATGACATTTCTTTTCCTACTCGTCATATGAAGTAGATTTCTCTCGCTGTCTTACTGTGAACGTCCACTAGGGGGCTGTAATGAACTACCTATGCATACCATTGAACTGAACAGAAGAAGAAGCTCGCTGCTTGTCTGTGATTGGTTAGAACAGTCACATGATGACGTGAAGTATAAAAAATAACATAGAAGCGTCTGAACAGTGAGAGCAGCAGCAGCTTCAGGAAGATTCTTTAAAACTCTACAACGATGGTGAGTCTCTCTGTGACAGCGGCCGCCATCTTTGAGCCGCTCTTTGATCGTGAGCCGATCACGTGATGTGAAGTTTAACCGACTGATCAGGAAATAGACCGCAGCTGATTGGCTAGCGTTAGCCTGCTAGCTTTGTTGTATCGTTCTGTCAAATAAGCCGGAAGGGAAGGGTGTGGTTTCCGGTTGTCTGTTTCAGATTAAAACTACGGACATAGCTAGGAATGTACTCAACTCATCTGATGCGTTCAGGATCATCTGATGCGTTCAGGATCATCTGCATGTAGGGAGACTTTCATACCGACTGTTTTACTTTTACTTACTTTGATACTTAATATGGAATAATATTTCCCTGTTTTGTGTGTGTGTGTGTGTGTGTGTGTGTGTGTGTGTGTGTGTGTGTGTGTGTGTGTGTGTGTGTGTGTGTGTGTGTGTGTGTGTGTGTGTGTGTGTGTGTGTGTGTGTGTGTGTGTGTGTGTGAACATGATGAATGTTCCCTTGAGATGAAACTTAGTGCTTCATTTATAAAACCTTTAATGTGCTAAATAACCAGAAAGTTAAAGTTTACAGTCTGATTTCCTTTAGCTCATTTACTGCTACTAGGCTTTCTGTCAGCTGTTAGTCAGCTGTTAGTCAGCTGTTAGTCAGCTGTTAGTCAGCTGTTAGTTAGCTGTTAGTCAGCTGACAGTCAGCTGTTAGTCAGCTGTTAGTCAGCTGACAGTCAGCTGACAGTCAGCTGTTAGTTAGCTGTTAGTTAGCTGTTAGTCAGCTGTTTGTTAGCTGTTAGTCAGCTGTTAGTCAGCTGACAGTTAGCTGTTAGTCAGCTGTTAGTCAGCTGTTAGTCAGCTGACAGTTAGCTGTTAGTTAGCTGTTAGTCAGCTGTTAGTCAGCTGACAGTCAGCTGTTAGTCAGCTGTTAGTCAGCTGACTGTTAGCTGTTAGTCAGCTGTTAGTTAGCTGTTAGTCAGCTGACAGTTAGCTGTTAGTCAGCTGTTAGTCAGCTGTTAGTCAGCTGACAGTCAGCTGTTAGTCAGCTGACAGTCAGCTGTTAGTCAGCTGTTAGTCAGCTGTTAGTCAGCTGACAGTTAGCTGTTAGTCAGCTGACAGTCAGCTGTTAGTCAGCTGACAGTCAGCTGTTAGTTAGCTGTTAGTTAGCTGTTAGTCAGCTGACAGTCAGCTGTTAGTCAGCTGACAGTTAGCTGTTAGTCAGCTGACAGTTAGCTGTTAGTTAGCTGTTAGTTAGCTGACAGTTAGCTGACAGTCAGCTGTTAGTTAGCTGACAGTCAGCTGTTAGTTAGCTGACAGTTAGCTGTTAGTTCGATGACAGTTCGCTGACAGTTCGCTGTTAGTTAGCTGTTAGTTTGCTGACAGTTAGCTGTTAGTTAGCTGTTAGTTAGCTGACAGTTAGCTGTTAGTTAGCTGTTAGTTAGCTGATAGTTAGCTGACAGTCAGCTGTTAGTTAGCTGACAGTTAGCTGTTAGTCAGCTGTTAGTTAGCTGTTAGTTAGCTGACAGTCAGCTGTTAGTTAGCTGTTAGTTAGCTGACAGTCAGCTGTTAGTTAGCTGTTAGTCAGCTGACAGTCAGCTGTTAGTCAGCTGTTAGTCAGCTGACAGTCAGCTGTTAGTCAGCTGACAGTCAGCTGTTAGTAAGCTGTTAGTCAGCTGACAGTCAGCTGTTAGTCAGCTGACAGTCAGCTGTTAGTCAGCTGTTAGTCAGCTGACAGTCAGCTGTTAGTCAGCTGACAGTCAGCTGTTAGTCAGCTGTTAGTCAGCTGACAGTCAGCTGTTAGTAAGCTGTTAGTCAGCTGACAGTTAGCTGTTAGTTAGCTGTTAGTTAGCTGACAGTTAGCTGTTAGTCAGCTGACAGTTAGCTGTTAGTTAGCTGTTAGTCAGCTGACAGTCAGCTGTTAGTCAGCTGACAGTTAGCTGTTAGTTAGCTGTTAGTCAGCTGACAGTTAGCTGTTAGTTAGCTGTTAGTTAGCTGACAGTTAGCTGTTAGTCAGCTGACAGTTAGCTGTTAGTCAGCTGACAGTTAGCTGTTAGTTAGCTGTTAGTCAGCTGACAGTCAGCTGTTAGTCAGCTGTTAGTCAGCTGTTAGTTAGCTGTTAGTCAGCTGACAGTCAGCTGTTAGTAAGCTGTTAGTCAGCTGACAGTTAGCTGTTAGTTAGCTGTTAGTTAGCTGACAGTTAGCTGTTAGTCAGCTGACAGTTAGCTGTTAGTTAGCTGTTAGTCAGCTGACAGTCAGCTGTTAGTCAGCTGACAGTTAGCTGTTAGTTAGCTGTTAGTCAGCTGACAGTTAGCTGTTAGTTAGCTGTTAGTTAGCTGACAGTTAGCTGTTAGTCAGCTGACAGTTAGCTGTTAGTTAGCTGTTAGTCAGCTGACAGTCAGCTGTTAGTTAGCTGTTAGTCAGCTGTTAGTTAGCTGTTAGTCAGCTGACAGTCAGCTGTTAGTCAGCTGACAGTTAGCTGTTAGTTAGCTGTTAGTCAGCTGACAGTCAGCTGTTAGTTAGCTGTTAGTTAGCTGACAGTTAGCTGTTAGTCAGCTGACAGTCAGCTGTTAGTTAGCTGTTAGTCAGCTGACAGTTAGCTGTTAGTTAGCTGTTAGTTAGCTGACAGTTAGCTGTTAGTCAGCTGACAGTTAGCTGTTAGTTAGCTGTTAGTCAGCTGACAGTTAGCTGTTAGTTAGCTGTTAGTCAGCTGACAGTCAGCTGTTAGTAAGCTGTTAGTCAGCTGACAGTCAGCTGTTAGTAAGCTGTTAGTTCGCTGACAGTTAGCTAACAGTTAGCTGTTAGTTAGCTGTTAGTTCGCTGACAGTTAGCTGTTAGTTAGCTGTTAGTTAGCTGACAGTTAGCTGTTAGTTCGATGACAGTTCGCTGACAGTTCGCTGACAGTTAGCTGTTAGTTAGCTGTTAGTTAGCTGACAGTTAGCTGTTAGTTCGATGACAGTTCGCTGACAGTTCGCTGACAGTTAGCTGTTAGTTAGCTGTTAGTTAGCTGACAGTTAGCTGTTAGTTCGCTGACAGTTAGCTGACAGTTAGCTGTTAGTTCGCTGACAGTTAGCTGACAGTTAGCTGTTAGTTAGCTGTTAGTTAGCTGACAGTTAGCTGTTAGTTCGATGACAGTTCGCTGACAGTTCGCTGACAGTTAGCTGTTAGTTAGCTGTTAGTTAGCTGACAGTTAGCTGTTAGTTAGCTGTTAGTTAGCTGACAGTTAGCTGTTAGTTAGCTGTTAGTTAGCTGACAGTTAGCTGTTAGTTCGCTGACAGTTAGCTGACAGTTAGCTGTTAGTTAGCTGTTAGTTAGCTGACAGTTAGCTGTTAGTTCGATGACAGTTCGCTGACAGTTCGCTGACAGTTAGCTGTTAGTTAGCTGTTAGTTAGCTGACAGTTAGCTGTTAGTTCGATGACAGTTCGCTGACAGTTAGCTGTTAGTTAGCTGTTAGTTAGCTGACAGTTAGCTGTTAGTTCGATGACAGTTCGCTGACAGTTCGCTGACAGTTAGCTAACAGTTAGCTGTTAGTTCGATGACAGTTCGCTGACAGTTAGCTAACAGTTAGCTGTTAGTTAGCTAACAGTTATTCACAATAAGGCGTGTAGCTGACCTGATTGACAGGTGGGCGCGGTGTAACGGTTTGTCAGGAGGTTTAAAACCTGCCTCAGCTCCAGCTCTCAGCCTGTCGTTAGGTTGACTGAAAGTTAGACTGAGACAGCATTTCCAGCATGGAGACCGCCATCGATGGGACTCCAGCGCCCCCTGCAGGGACAGACGGGGGGCGCCATCGATGGGACTCCAGCGCCCCCTGCAGGGACAGACAGGGACAACACTCAGACTTCTTCTGGTCATATTTACAATCTACAATCTAAAAAGATAGAAATGAGGCATCAGTAACAAAAGTGCTGTCACCGTATTGGTTAACGGGGTCTGCTTATCAACCAATCAGAGAGGACTCTGTGAGGAGGAGGGCTTTGTACTGACTCTGAGGAAGACACAGTGTGTTGGAGCCATCGATTGGTGTAATTGTCTTTGTGCTATTTATTTAAGGTTAAGGTAGTCTGTTATATATTGGTGTTTTGGGTTATTGATTATTATATCATTTATTAGGATTGTGTTGAGTGAGGGGATGTCGGGTCACATGGGTATGGGCGGAGATGTGTTGATTTAACTCACCTGTTCACCTTTTGTTCTCAGTGGAAGAGAGGGGGTGAGTGGGGTGGCCGTATTTTTTGTTGACCGCTATTGTTTCTGGCTCACTGTGATTATGAGTTAATGCACGTTATTATAAGTTAAGTTGATTATCTTTTTTACGTTAATAAAAAAGTCAAACTTATTTTTACGGATCACAGTATTCTTTTGAAAGCGCGTCAGACAAATATATTAGGCCCAACCTCATATTCAGGAACGCCGCTACACAGTGATTCTTCAGATCAACAGCTGTCTGTTCTGCAGAGTGAATCACTGGTGGTGTGTGACGTGGATGAAGAGCTCATCAAGAAGCTGAAGGCTTTCCGTTTCCGTAAGGAGACCAACAACGCCGCCATCATCAGTGAGTACTCGCTCTCTGAACGTTACAAACATGTTGTAAAGATCAGGATCAGGAACGAGCTGCATGACGAGGTCAGGTGATGCCCGGCTCTCTGATTGGCTGTTGAGTAACTGTTACTGTTTGTGTCTTCAGTGAAGATTGATAAAGAGCGACAGCTGGTGGTTCTCGATGAGGAGCATGAGGTCAGTCCTCTGACGTTTCAGATCTACGAGCGACCTCTGACCCCAGAACAGACTCTGAATGTTTGATGTGTTTCTTTATTTTCAGGACATTTCTCCTGACGACCTGAAAGAAGAGCTGCCAGAGAGACAGCCCAGATATCCTTTCAGTTTAAAGTTTCTCTGTCGTCTGTTCTGAGTGTGACGTGTGTGAACGCTCCTTAACGCCGCCAACGTTCATCGTCTACAGCTACAAGTACCAGCACGACGACGGCCGGGTGTCCTATCCCCTCTGCTTCATCTTCTCCAGTCCAGCAGGTGAGATACCTGTAAACACTTTGAGGCTGTTCCTGCACAGGGGGGCTGTTAGCGGGCGTACTGCGTTCTTATTGGATCAGGCCGAGCGGTTTGTGACAGCGCGTGTGTGTGTGTGTGTGTGTGTAGGTTGCAAAATGGAGCTGCAGATGATGTACGCAGGAAGTAGACAGGTCCTGGTAAAAGCTGCTCAGCTGTCAAAGGTGAGTGAGGCGTTTGTGATCTTCTTGGTGTTGTTTGGGACACACAGAGTCCTCCAGTCTTTGTTCCAAATATAATCAGAGTTGTTGTTCAGTAAAAGAAGAAGCGTGCAGACGGCGTGATCAGGTGGCGTTTATCTTCACATGAATCTCTTTTCTTGAAGGTGTTTGAGATCCGAGCCACTGAGGATCTGACGGAGGACTGGCTCCGAGAGAGACTCGGCTTCTTCGGCTAAAGGCCCCCCCCCACCCCCCTGTGGGTCTGGGACGTGAGGAGGATCCAGATCGTGTCTCGTCTTTGGGAGAGCACGCCACCCTTAATGTCCCCTCCTCTTTCTGCCCTGATCCATCAAACAGTCCTGTGCTCAGTTTTAGGCGTCTGCTGGTTGACCTCGGTAACTTCCTGTTCAGAACGTCTGTGCGTACCAAACCCCGCCCATCCGCCCGCCTAAAACTGACCTCCGGTCTGTTCCATGTGCCAGTAACGTGTCTTTGTTCCATTAACACTCCGTAACTTTAACGGCGATAGAAGAGATGGAACTCATCGGCCTTCCTCCGCATCGCCATTCAGGACGCGTTCGACCACTGAGCGTGTAGAAAGATGGACGACGAGTGTCCAAAGTGAAGCCAAAACGACCTAATGGCCGCTGACATGTCAGAGTCTGCGGCACGTTACTGATGCCCCGCCCCTTCCTCTTAGAGTGCTAATTAAACATTCTTTTTAAGGTCAAAGGTTGCTCAGGTGGGGTCAGTCCAGAACAGACAATCATCGCTATAGGACTCCTGTGTTCGTTACGTTTCCTCTGATAATCTGCACAGTGACACAGGAGCCTCATTGGTCGACAGAGCTGTCAATCACTCCTTTATATATCATGAATCAAAACTAAACTTGTCACTCAGCGTAATGAGAAATATAACGACAGAAACCGTATGACTCATGTCTCATCTGGTAACATGGAGGAGGCGGAGCTTATGAGTTGTACTGCAGCCAGTCAGCAGGGGGAGCTCTGAATGTTTTGGCTTCACTTTGAGGATGTCATGTCGTCCATCTCTGTCCATCTCTGTCCAGTCTGTGGTATCAACTCTTCCTCTCTCTCTTTTTTGTAGTTCTGATAGTTTCTGCTGTTTGTAGTTTCATGTAAATAAATCTTTCCTGTCAGTCGAACCTGCTGCAGTCCAGAGACCAAACGAGCATCAGTCTCTCCTTAAAGGTTTTGAATTCTACGTTTGTTAAACTGCTGAATCAATCTCTCCAACACTACGACCTGCACGACCAGCGCTGCATTCACGTGGCGGTCTCTTCGTGGTTATTACGAGTGAACACGATATTAAAATGTATTTCATGTTTCAGAACTTCAGCAGGTCCTTTTACAGAGACACATTTGAGAAATGTCAAAGTTTAAAATCACTTCTGGGTTCTGTGGGAAGGAAACCAAAACTCTCCCAGACAGAAACTCATTCTTCTGATTATTCCGACAGCACGTGAATGCAGCGTTCCACACGAACGCGTGACGCGGTGCTGAAACATTCCAGTTCATTCAAACTGCAGACCTCCGTGACGGTTTTTTAAACACAGGGCGCCGTTAGCGGCGTCGTGCTGATTGTTGGATCATTTGGTGCATTAACAGCTGTTTGTGATGATGAATGTTTCAGTCTTTAAAGAGAAGAAACACGACACAGAGGAGATTTTAAAACACTAACTTTGTTTGAACTTGAAGTCAAACAGACGCCGTTTCTGTCTTTTTCAAATGTCGGTAAATTAAATTAAGGAAACAGATTTTCTTGACGAGATTCGTACGCACAATCCCTTCCTGTCATGTCGTGTTTTGATGTTGGACGTGAATCATTGACGGGGACGCCGCGGCGAGACTTACGAGTTAATAATACCCGAACCTACTGACCATAAAGTTTAACGACCCTAAAAAAACACCTTTAACACTAAATACAAACAGGAAGTCTGACTGCCTTTCTGTTGAATTCTTTGAGATTTAAATATGTGAATAAAAAACGAGCTGCACGTGTCTCTCCTCTGTTCCTCCTCTAACCGTCAGATTCTCGTCCTGATGGGTTCAGCTGGATCTGTTGCATCCTGTGGATCTGATCCATGACCCTCCTGTTCTATTTTAATCCTCTTTAACCTGACGGTGTGTCTTTAAGAACTTCTCATTCCTTTGTAAGAAAAAGCAGCTGCCTCATAGCGTCAGTGAAACTTGACATATTTGTATTTTCTCGTACTTTATAAAGTGTCTGTTATCCTGTTGAACAAATAAAATGACGGTGATGTTTAACCCGCTGCTCTCTAGATTCTTCTGTTTCATACGGACGTGTGACCCATTAGTACCATGGATCAGAATCAGAAAGAATTTATTAACCTGGGAGGTTAATAACCAGTTGGTCTTAAACACAATGTAGCAGCAGTAGGGAATATAGAATAATTTTAAATTAATTGTCCCAGAGGGGAAATTAGTTTAGCAGCCAGGTGAAAATAATAAACATGTAGAGAGACAGACACATGGAGTTTATCAGGCCACAGCAGGAAACGTATAAAAACATCCATAAAATCAAAATAAAACTCATAGAGGTCATCATTAGAGTTCAGTCATTTGATGTCCTGAGTTATAAAATATTTTTCCAACAAAGTGAGAGTATCTTAAGAATAATAAGCTATGTACAAGCACAGGGAATTAAATATATGAACAATATTTACAGATATAAACATCACAAAATGTGATTAATTCTCGTAAATACGATATTTTCGAGGAGCAATTGAAGGCAGCATACGTCTCTTTGAACGACCCTGCACTAAGAAAAGAGTCCACAAGGTGGCAGTAATGCAGCACTATGGCTGCCACGCAGATGAAGTGTCACTGCAGAAGAAGAAGGACACAAATCTGAGCCCGGAGCCGCTGAGCAGCAGGACCCGAGCTGAGCGAACTCTCAAAACATGGCGTTCACATTCGCGGCCTTTTGTTACATGTTGGCTCTGCTGCTCACAGCGGCTCTCATCTTCTTCGCTATCTGGCACGTAAGTATGACGTCAGACATGTTTGTTCTCCGCTGATTGACGTGAGAGCGGGAACGAGGCGGGCTCGGGCTAACGTTAGGCCAGCTTCGGGATGGGGTTCGGGTTTTTCCGTTACTCACCCGAGTTTGTCCGAACCAAACGGCTAATGTTAGCTGGAGATGAAACACTAATTCAAATGTTTCATCTCTGTAAGTGTTTCACTAACACGGAACGTTTGTTAACTTGTAGTCTCACTGAACTGCTAAGCTAGTTAGCCTCGTTGTTAGCATGCACTGCTAACGTTAACTCTGATGTTTCCTCCTATTAAACGACGTGTCACAATTCATCCTGTCGTAAAAACAATTCATCCTGTCGTAAAAACAATTCATCCTGTCGTAAAAACAATTCATCCTGTCGTAAAAACGTCAAAACGTCAGTGAAAGCAGAACAACGTTTAGTGACGTGACTCACAGCTGGTACAGTTAGAGAGAACTGTTAAATCAGACTAAAGGAATGAACCTGACATGAAATACAGATTTAACTTGATCTTTTTAATGTGACAGTAAATCTGGCAAAAATCAATCACAGCAATCTTTTAGGCTGCACAATAAATCATGTTATTGTTATCGCAACAAAAAGGGAGAATTATAGAATTTAAAGGAGCAGTATGTAACTCTGCCCCTAGTGTTTAAAATGGGTACTGCAGTCTAAATTCTAAACACTGTAAAGAGCTGTCTCCCCCTCCTCCTCTCTATAGTGGATGCTCACTCAGGTCACCATGTGGTGGACTCTGAAGCTTCAGTGTTTATCCAGCTCTGCATCAGCTTATAAACTCTACATTCAAACTGGCCCCTCCCCCTGCGTTCACACACTCCCTGCAGGACGGAAATGGTCAATAGACTTGAGCTTGCAGAGTTCTTTTCTAGTCTCGTTGTGACTACTAAAAGTGAACAGTGTAAAGTAATGAATCCATTCTATGTATCGTGCCCAAAGAAACATTGCATATGTGGCTGAAGGAAGGAAATCAAACCCCTGACCTTCCGGTTGAGAGAAGACCAACTCTACCGAGTCAACCGTCACAAAGCAGAACAGTAAAATCCAGTGAGAGGACAGAGTCTCTGCAGACACAGTCACCACCACACATGTACGGAGGCCCAGAAGGGACAATGGAGCAGCTTCACTTTAGGAGAAGTCTGTATTTTATTTTGAAAGAGACAGGAAGCTGACTATGTTTAGAAAAGATTTGTTGTGAAAATGAGAAACTGCTGTGTGTCCATAGTAACTCTGTGATGGTCTTGTCCCCCCAGATAATAGCATTTGATGAGCTGAAGACTGATTACAAGAATCCCATAGATCAGTGTAACACTTTAAATCCGGTAAGTGCCACCCCCCCCCCCCCCTCCTGGCCTCTTTGAGTGCATGCATTAAAGCTCTAATGTACTGAGGGTGACTTTCTCCACCTCCCTCTCTTTTTCAATCATTTCTCTGCACTGTTATGCTAAATAACCTGCCTGTTCTGAATTCAGTGATCTTGTCAGCTGTCCAACTCTTAACGCCTTTTTGTTTTTGTTTTTCCTAATCTGCTTCTTCTTTTTTTATTTTTTCACTTCTTTTTTTTATCGGCAAAAAGACAGTTGAAAAGGTCAAAAAGATAAAAAGAGTCAAAATTGCATTGAAGGTTTGTACCAATCTTTCAAATGCCCGCTCAGTTCGACTCAGTCTGCAGTCTTGTCATTTTGCACGGAGAAGTGTTTGCAAACGTCTTTTCAGTTAACTAATCTCAGACGAGAGCTCAGCCTGGGATTAGACTCCGTGCCACCTGTGCTTCAGGTGTGTCACCGTCATGTATGAAAAGTCTTTAATATGTTGGTGGAGCCGCTGCAAGAGGATGAGCTTTATGGATCTTCTGTTAGTTTGAATATCTGTGATCACAAACTAAAGTGGCTACATGCTAAGCTACTTCCTGTGTGTTTAAATATTCAGCACGTAGTTAACGTTTAGCTGTTAACTGAAAAGACTTGCAAATGCTCAAAACTTGCATGATTTTTATTACAACCTACCCTCAGTTTGCAAAGTGTTCTAGTGAGGGGAGCAAGGGGAGTCCCGGGACCCTCGGGAAGCGAGGGGAGCAAGGGGAGTCCCGGGACCCTCGGGAAGCGAGGGGAGTCCCGGGACCCTCGGGGAGCGAGGGGACTTGAGTTTAAGAGAAGCAGGTGTACGCGTGCTGTCCTGACGATGGCGTGCGTACAGAGGAACAAAGAGTTTAAAAGCTGATGAGTTTTTACGGGTAGAAACAGGCCGGTTTGAAACAGACGGTTACAGCGTCAAATGTCTCATCAGAGTCGTCCAATAGCAGCGTTTGTTTTTGCAAATAACATAATAAGAGGGTTATTCTAACAGCACGCAGCGTGCCATATTAACGTCACGTTTCTATTTTCCTCTATGCTGCTCGCGTTGAAGGTCGAGGAACGAGGAAGCAGGCGACTCTACGAGGCACTTACCCTCCTATCTCAGAGAGTTAGATTGTTTTACAGAGAGGAGATCATTAACTGACTTTTGACCTGTCAACACGAAGAAAAACTTTCTTCAGCTCGCCGTTTATTAACGAGACTTCAGTTAATAAACCACTTCAGTTTGGCCACCTTCAAAATAAAAGCCCCACATGTTATGCTTACAAGAGGAAACTGGAAATAGCAAAGATGTAAATATTTAATGGATGCGGCGCTGGCGTGCTGTTAGGACACAGTGTGTGTGAGGTCTGCTCCAGAGAGCGGCGAGTTTGAGGAAAGAGATTTAAAAACCACGGCAGCTCAGATTGAAGTCCCAGACGCCCGATATTATTATTATTATTATTATTATTATTATAGTTTTTTAAGATCAACTAATGCAGACGTCCCCGTCTAAATCGCACAAAAACATTGTCAACAATTCTCTACCGAAACCTCGCCAATGTTTCTAAACGGCGTGTGTGGACTCGATGGGTGGGTTAATTCCCTACACACACACACGTGTAGATATATTTGAAGGTTTTGTAGCGTCTTCACCGTCCCTGCTTCACGCCCTGCTCCTCGCCGAGCGTTGGCTCTAACCTCGCTCACCTGCGGTCCACGACAGATGGCGGCTCCAATACGCTCCAGCTCAGCAATATTTGAGACATCTGATTGGTTGTTGGTTTGATTGTAGGAGGAGTTTTTTTTAGTGAAAAGTCCAGATTGCTCTGATTTAAGTCTCTGCAGTTTTGACCGGCGTGTGGATTGTCAGCGGCGTGATTTGGCGTGGTTTTGTATTTGGCAGCACAGTGCAGGATTTCTCCACATTCCAGCCCCCACCCGCTCCTGCACCTCCCTCTCCCCACACGCCCCCACCTTTCCATCTGTGGGCTGTCGGTTTGCCCCCCCCCCCCCGAATGCATGGCTTCCATGTGGTGCCTCCATCTGCCCCTGTGACCCCCCCCCACTCCAGCTCGGACTCTGTGACCCGGCAGGCTGCTGCATCACTGCGCTCAGCATGCTCCTCCTTCTGTGGCGTGCGAGGACCTCGCTGCAGAACACGTCCATGAGTTTTCTGCAGAGCGAGTTGTCGATGGGCTTCCCTTTACTATTTGTGCTCAGATGATGCATGACATCGAAGCAGCACATTAAGCCTTTCTATCCACATCGCTGAGTTTGTTTCTTCACACAGCGCACGTTTTCATCGGGAATCTGACGTGGTTATCATTTAATCTCGAGCTGGAAGTCTTTAGTATCGTGACGTTATCTTCATGTTTAACTCTAAATGTCGAGCGTTCAGTCCTCGCAGACGGGAGGAAGAGAATTTCACCGTCAAAGACGACCTGCGGCGTTCGAGCTGTTTGTTTACGTTACACTGAAGTCGACGCTCACGCCATCGACTGAGTGACACGTTTAAATTTATCTCAACTAACTCGATGTTTCAAGTAACATGACATCACGCCGTTATGATGCATTATCTTTACTCGTGTAGTGCGGCCCACGCCACAGATGATGATGCATAAAGATCGTTTTACTCTTAAGCCTTTGATCCCATCGGGTTTTGTGGACACATTGCCGCCTTCACGCGTTTCTCCGTTAGATCGTGGACTGTCAATTCTTATTCAGGGGAAACCTTGAGTCTGTCTGAAGTGGTTTACAGTTTGATCCAGCAGAGGGCGCTCTCATTTCATGACCTCTTGACTTCAGTAACTGTAATCTCTGCAGACAGTAGCTCTCTGATTGGTGGAGAGACACAGGGTCACTACAAACCTGCAACTCCCCAAGCTGGCTCACTAATGTTTGAACACGTGTCATATTCTAAATTCTTGATGTTTTATTAAAAAGATGGCAGCCCTGAGCTGCAGCCCTCCCTCCGCCACAGTAAAGCTAACGTAGCATAGCATGTCTCTCGATTAGCACATTGAGCTGCTAAACGTAATGTTAGCTAACCAACCGTCACATTGGCTGGAAACGGTTGAGTGAATAAACTTCCAGAATATGTATTTTTTGTTTTATTTTCTCGGTTTAGACTTTGAAGTCTTTCTGTGTGAACACGGCGATGAAGTATTTTATTCTGAAAGAGTTTGACTTCCTGATGACGTCAGACCTTTACTCGTCCGATCGTTTCACGGAGGGAGATTTACTTATTTGACGTCTCAGCTTCTCATTGGATAAAAAGTTTACTGACGCTCGATCCAAAGACCGCTGGACGTTTCCTCACGTCCAGCTGCTGGAGCTCCGCCTCTTTGGATCGAGCGTCAGTAACTCCACAGACGTTAGTAAAAGTGCGATCATCTTCGGACTCGGCGTGTTGTTCAGCGTGACTCCACGCGTGGTAGCGGTCGATCAGCTGACAGACTCCTGACCTCTGACCTCGTCTCATGTTTCCTTTCTTCACAGCTCGTCCTCCCAGAGTATCTCATCCACTTCTTCTTCTGCGTGATGTTCTTCTGCGCTGCCGAGTGGCTCACCCTCTGTCTCAACCTGCCGCTGCTAGCTTACCATGTGTGGAGGTGAGCACTAAGCTAACGATTTAAAGTGGTTAGCTTCCACCACGTCTTCTCTGGGTCCATGGACTGATATGGTCACACCCGACAGGTCTGGCATCTTGCTAACCAAGCTATCGCTAACTGAAGCTCTGTGGTCACTTTTTACTCCATAAAATCAAAATGGCGGCGGCTAAAATTCTGAACTTGATCCTTAAAACTGCAGAACACATTTAAACAGAAACACTTGCTGAACATGTTTTCTTACAGGTATATGAGCAGACCTGTGATGAGCTGTCCAGGTCTCTACGACCCCACGACCATCATGAACGCTGACATCCTGGCGTTCTGTCAAAAAGAAGGCTGGTGCAAACTGGCGTTCTACCTCCTGTCCTTCTTCTACTACCTTTACGGGTAAGAACGTGGTCATCATGTTTCTGGTCGAGGACTGAGATACGTAACGGGTTCACCCTAAAACCAAACCCTTATGTACTGTTAGCATGAATGCTAGCATGTAGCATATAAACTTCAACAAGGCGGCTGATTTTTGTCTGTTCTTTCCAACAGGATGATTTATGTTCTGGTGAGCTCTTAAAGTGAGCGCTGGAGGAGGAGCATGTACAGAAAACGACCACGATGATGTGAGTGCTGGAACACGCCGGAGAAGACGCCATTTCTAACAGATGAACTCTCGACCCCCCCCACACACACACACACACACACACACACACACACACACACACACACACACAGAGCGTGTTATCCTGTTTTAACCTCTCGGCCTCAGCGTTCCTCTCATCGCTCTTGTCGACCTTTTTATGGAAGACGAATCTGAACGGGCATCTTTGGTTTTTTTTCATTCTTTGGGATTTAAATAAAGTTTTTTTCCAGCCTGAGTGTTGACAGGTTAGCTAAGACTTCTTTAGATGTTTCTGTCGTTCAGACTCTGTCCGCTTTATACCCGCCACGTGTTCAGACGAGAGGCGCGGGGACAATCACGTGTTTTTATCATCGTGTGTGTGTGTGCGTGTGTGCGTGTGCCATCGATGACCTGAACGGTGAAGACGTAACGAGAGTTTGTAGAAAACGTGTTTGAAAGTGTTTTTATTTATTCTGTTTCTCTGATCGCTCGTCGTCGTAGCTCGTCGTCCCGTCGCTCTGATTCTTGTTTTTTAGTTTGTCATCGGGGAACGAGACGCTCGGTTTTAGAATCATGAAGAAACAACTTTGTTTGATCTGAATAAAGATTTCCCACTCTGCTCCCGACTCCACTTTGATTTCAACTTCAGATAAGAAAGGCTAACGTTAGCTTTATTAGTTTCAAACTAGCCTGTCCTGTGATGTCATGAGGCCCCTCCTCCTCAGCCTGAGATACTACTAACCACAACAACGAGCCAATCACAGGAGGTTTAATCATTGTTTATTTCACACAGAAGACAACGACACCCTGAGAGACAAATAAGAGAAATACATTCATAACTAAACGTTTATATTTATAAACAAAGACAACGTTACGTGTAACGGACAGGAAGTAGCAAAGAGAAGCTTCCTGAACGTCTGTGATTAAAAGCAGAAGAAGTTAAAGTGCGATCAGAGGACAGAAGGTTTTCTCTGCAGCTGATGATCTGAAGATGGCGAGCAATCACCGAGACACGCAGCGCTCTGTGGAAACCGCTCTGCTCGCCTGAAACGCCACGTAACGCTCCCGAAACTCATGCAGGAAGTTGTATTGCTGCCAAACAGGAAATCACTGTTAATGACAGGTTAGGAAGTGATGCTGTTGAAGCTGGAGAGGAGAGAGGGTGAGGAGAGGGGGAGGAGTGAGGGTGAGGAGAGAGGAAAGGAGAGAGGGTGAGGAGTGAGGGGGAGGAGAGAGGAGGAGGAGAGAGGAAAGGAGAGAGGGTGAGGAGTGAGGGGGAGGAGAGAGGAGGAGGAGTGAGGGTGAGGAGAGAGGAAAGGAGAGAGGAAAGGAGAGAGGGTGAGGAGAGGGGGAGGAGAGAGGAAAGGAGAGAGGGTGAGGAGTGAGGGGGAGGAGAGAGGAGGAGGAGAGAGGAAAGGAGAGAGGGTGAGGAGTGAGGAAAGGAGAGAGGGTGAGGAGTGAGGGGGAGGAGGGAGGAGAGAGGGAGGGGAGAGGGCGGTCCCTGCTCCTCTCGTCATTAGTTTAGTAATTAAAGATGAGAGATGAACTTTGGGTTTCTGAAACTTTAAACTTCAGAAGAAGAGTAAACCGTCACCTTCACAGTCTGGATGGCTCCGCCTCCTCGCTGCTCCCGCAGGATTTCGATGGCTTTGTTTGCCGTCATGGTCAGAGAGAGCTGAAGCAGCAAACACGCAGCGACTGCAGCAGCAGAAAAAACACGAGATCAGACGTGAAGAGAAGTTTGATCATGACAAAAAAAGATGGACAGAAGAATCAAACTCACTTAATCCGGAGCGTCCGAGGCCGCCGTAACAGCTGGAGGAGGAGAGAGCAGAAGTGAGCGAGGCGTCTCCATGGAAACCATCACACTAAAGAGACGCCTGACACTGAACACAGGTTTAAAGAGAGAAAGAGACTTTCTGTCTCACAAATGTTTTAATATCAGAACATAAGAACTCTCTCTGAGCTCTAAACCTGACATGAAGCTTCTTCAGACTGTGAACATCCTGCTTTAACTTGTTGGAACAAAGCAGAGACAAACTCATCTTCTTTCTCTAATAGAAAATGAAAGTCCACATTCTGTCTCTTTGTTTAACCCTTTGTTTCAAGAAGAACCTGATGGAGTCACTCACTGGATCACAGTCCTCCTGTTGCTCTGCAGGCTGACCTGCAGCTCCTCCAGAATGTGGCAGCACTGCTCCAGCTCAGGAGCGTCTCCGTCTGCAAAGGGCCAGTGATGGACGGTGAAGCCTCGCTGACCGTACACCTCCAGCAGGGAGGGGACCCGGTACTTATGAAGTTCTCCTCTGGTGCAGAAAACAAACACCTCATGCACGCCCTGATTCTGCAGCTCCTCTGAGAACGAGACAGAAAGCGAAGTTACCGACTGCTGAATCAGGTGACAAGTTTCCTCCTCAGGTGTCGTTCACACACGAGAAGTAAAAGCATTTCAAAATAAAAGTCCATATTCTTGTGAATGTCTTAATGGTGATTTCTTCATAAGTATTTTATTTGTCAGATGATCGTCTTACCAACATCTCTGTCCAGACTCCTGCGGATATCTTTGTATTTACAGCCTGAAGTCAGAGGAACAAAAGGTCATCAGTCAGTCAGACCATCCAGAACAAACCAGGACACAAAGAGTTAAATTAAGTATTTACCTGGTAGAGCACAAATCCCCAGAGACTGTGAGCACTCCACCATGGACAGAGGTAACCTGACAGCCAATAGAATCAAACACACATGAACACAGTTGACTGTATATACAGATGGACGGCGATTCTCAGCCGTGTCCTGCTGAACAGGATGAAGACAAAAGTACTCTGTGACGGGCGCTGACATGTTAAGAACTTTGAAACAATCTGAGCAGCAGGAAGAGCGGCACTAATGATGTCACACACCTTTAACTTCCTGTTTAGTTTTTCAGACAAAAAGCCTCGACAACCTCCATATCCTGAAACACATCTTTCATCACCCTGACCAGGTTTTACTTTTGACTAAGGAAACCAGATGTGTGTTGAGACTGACCAGGAGACATTGAAGGGAGTCAGCTGCTCTTCTCCGACCTCCTCGTCTTCAGAGGAGTCAAACTCATTCGTTCTCATGGCGCCCACACAACACGCTGAAGTTCAATTTCCCCTCAAAGGATTAATAAAGTAGATCTTCTTCTTCTTCTGAAAGAGACGAGCGGACACAATGTGATCAGACCAATCGTGACCTGTACACTATGAAACACACTACAGTCAGACTGACCTGTAAACTATGAAACACATTACAGTCAGACTGACCTGTAAACTATGAAACACTACAGTCAGACTGACCTGTAAACTATGAAACACATTACAGTCAGACTGACCTGTAAACTATGAAACACTACAGTCAGACTGACCTGTAAACTATGAAACACTACAGTCAGACTGACCTGTAAACTATGAAACACTACAGTCAGACTGACCTGTAAACTATGAAACACACTACAGTCAGACTGACCTGTACACTATGAAACACACTACAGTCAGACTGACCTATAAACTATGAAACACACTACAGTCAGACTGACCTGTAAACTATGAAACACTACAGTCAGACTGACCTGTAAACTATGAAACACTACAGTCAGACTGACCTGTACACTATGACACACTACAGTCAGACTGACCTGTAAACTATGAAACACACTACAGTCAGACTGACCTGTACACTATGAAACACACTACAGTCAGACTGACCTTTAAACTATGAAACACTACAGTCAGACTGACCTGTACACTATGAAACACACTACAGTCAGACTGACCTGTACACTATGAAACATATTACTGTTAGACTGACCTGTAAACTATGAAACACTACAGTCAGACTGACCTGTACACTATGAAACACACTACAGTCAGACTGACCTATACACTATGAAACACACTACAGTCAGACAGACCTGTAAACTATGAAACACATTACAGTCAGACTGACCTGTAAACTATGAAACACTACAGTCAGACTGACCTGTACACTATGAAACACACTACAGTCAGACTGACCTGTACACTATGAAACACTACAGTCAGACTGACCTGTAAACTATGAAACACTACAGTCAGACTGACCTGTACACTATGAAACACTACAGTCAGACTGACCTGTAAACTATGAAACACACTACAGTCAGACTGACCTTTAAACTATGAAACACTACAGTCAGACTGACCTGTACACTATGAAACACACTACAGTCAGACTGACCTGTACACTATGAAAACATTACTGTTAGACTGACCTGTAAACTATGAAACACTACAGTCAGACTGACCTGTAAACTATGAAACACTAGAGTCAGACTGACCTATACACTATGAAACACACTCCAGTCAGACTGACCTGTAAACTATGAAACACATTACAGTCAGACTGACCTGTAAACTATGAAACACTACAGTCAGACTGACCTGTACACTATGAACACACTACAGTCAGACTGACCTGTACACTATGAAACACTACACAGTCAGACTGACCTGTAAACTATGAAACACACTACAGTCAGACTGACCTGTACTATGAACACACTACAGTCAGACTGACCTGTACACATAAGAAACACTACAGTCAGACTGACCTGTACCTATGAACACATTACTGTTAGACTGACCTGTAAACTATGAAACACTACAGTCAGACTGACCTGTAAACTATGAAACACACTACAGTCAGACTGACCTGTAACTATGAACACACTACAGTCAGACTGACCTGTACACTATGAACACATACAGTCAGACTGACCTGTACACTATGAAACACACTACAGTCAGACTGACCTGTACACTATGAAACACTACAGTCAGACTGACCTGTAAACTATGAACACTACAGTCAGACTGACCTATAACTATGAAACACTACAGTCAGACTGACCTGTAAACTATGAAACACTACAGTCAGACTGACCTGTACACTATGAAACACACTACAGTCAGACTGACCTGTACACTATGAAACACTACAGTCGACTGACCTGTACTATGAAACACACTACGTCAGACTGACCTGTACACTATGAAACACACTACAGTCAGACTGACCTGTATATACACTATGAAACACACTACAGTCAGACTGACCTGTTAAACTATGAACACACTACAGTCAGACTGACCTGTAAACTATGAAACACATACAGTCAGACTGACCTGTACAACTATGAAACACACTACAGTCAGACTGACCTGTAAACTATGAAACACTACAGTCAGCTGACCTGTACACTATGAAACACACTACAGTCAGACTGACCTGTAACTATGAAACACACTACAGTCAGACTGACCTGTACCTATGAAACACATACAGTCAGACTGACCTGTACACTATGAAACACACTACAGTCAGACTGACCTGTACACTATGAAACACATTACAGTCAGACTGACCTGTAAACTATGAAACACATTACAGTCAGACTGACCTGTACACTATGAAACACTACAGTCAGCTGACCTGTACACTATGAAACACACTACAGTCAGACTGACCTGTACTATGAAACACACTCAGTCAGACTGACCTGTACACTATGAAACACTTACAGTCAGACTGACCTGTAAACTATGAAACACTACTACA